TCTCCTGTCACTTGAATGTCAATCTGGTGGGCTGCGCATATGAGGGGCGCTCCACAGGGTTCGAAGATAGCACTTTGCGTTCCATGCGGTTGCTGGGATCATTTGGACCATTCCGGTTCATTGATGGACTACCTTTACCACCAGAGGTCCCACCTCCAGAGTCGCCGGCGTCCCGTGCTCCAGCGCCCAGTACCACCACCAGCAATAGCAGTAGCACCATCTGGTGTCGATCCCCTCATCCAGAGGATGGATCGCCTCATGTCATGGGAGTGACGTCCCGACTCAACCGGCAGACTGACATACTTGAGTAGATGGCTCGTTGCCAGGGCCTCCTCCCAGTTGAGGATGAAGGACCTTCGACGTGAGAGAGGTAGCCGACGAGGGAGATATGTGGCAGAGTTGATTCCTTTTGCCCCACTACTCCACTTGGAACTCTGAACTCTTTTGTTTTATTTTTCTTTCTTTTATTTTATGTGAGTGATCATAAACTACTACTATCGTATTGTGATGTGATGTGTAATAACCTCGCCTCGAGTGAGTTGTGTTTGTGTATGTGTGTTTTTTAGTCTTCTCCTTGAAGCTTCAATCTCCTACCCCGGAAACAATTCCAACTTTCACTCACCAAGCAAACAGGTAACATTGTTCTACCTCTATCTTACATCATTTAGAGCAATGTCGAATTTAAGTGTGGGGGGTGGGGGGGGGGTTTAGTTTATTTTTATGCTTGTGTGAGTGTGATTGATGTTGGTTGGAGCGTTGATGTATGCCCAAATTTGGAAATTTTGAGGGCTCCAAACAATGTTTGCATGATCAAAGTGGTCGTTTTGTATGAGAATCTCGTGTTTATTGGCATTAATCTTGAATTGTTGCATGTGATCAAGTGTGTCCTATGATGATGACTGAGAGGTGCATTAGGATAGTACAAAAGTTTAGTTCTCATGTGTGCAAAAATGAATGGATGTCTTGACTCGATTACTTGTTAATTACAATTGACATGCATTGTGTTTTTTGAAAGTGGAATGAATGATTGGGTGAATAAGTAGCCATGTAAAGTAGGGTAATAAAATGGGGTCAATAAAGTAGAGAGTGCCACAAAAGATTCGAAGAGTATGCTCTAAGTAGGGTTTCTTGGCATGCAAGCCACTGAAACCCCCACATTGTTTTAGAACTACTTCTCTACCAATTCAAAATGTGATGGTAAGAGTAGACCGAGGAAGAGCACTTAAAGGTAGTTCATGATGGGTGATAGGATGGAAGGGAGAAGCAAGGTTTTTGGCCGATGCTAGTGGCCATTGTTTGTAGAGAAGGTTCTTAGTCGAAACCATAGAACCTTCGGGTTTAGGGTGAAGATGTAGGACCTCATGATGTGTGCGCCACCACCCAAAAAGCCTTTTCCCCATGTCCAAGACAATTTCCAGTCATTTGAACCCGTGTCTAAGACCTCCTAACAAGCTAGTGATGACAACCATCCCGTGAACTCTAACATTTAGAGGTTTTCGCTGTGGTGAAGAGACGATAGGGCAAAGTGTTGATGATTGTCCACATTCTTTGAACCAAAAAGGTTCCGACCCCACTGGTCAAGAGAGTGAGTGGTTCATTCTTGCTTTGCATGACATATCATAGCCTGGTGACGACCTTTGTTGCCCATTCGTTTGTTCCTTGGACTTGAATGTTATGCATGGTTAGTTGTGATTTCTAAGTGATCTTGTTGAGACTTGCATTGATTCATGAACAAGGTGAGAACTTTTTCGTTTGCCCATTTTGGTGTCCTCGAATATCGTTTGTGGTGGATGTCGTATTGCTTGCAACGGTCATGTGTTAATTGTCAATAGCCATTGAGATTCGCCGCTTTGTGCCATTTGGTTAGTCCCTAAAGAATTTTGTTAGGTTGAGAGATTACCTTGTGTCAAATGGTTTGCTTGGGGGCAAGCAAATGTCTAAGTGTGGGGAAGCGTTTCGAGCCTAATTGTATACTTTTTATCCCCGATTCTCTTTGATGTTTGTTGCAATTGAACTCCAAAAGGGTTGGTTTTACGCAAGGTTGCTTGTGTTTTAGTGCGTTTGAGATCCTAACAGGTAAAACCAAACCCGGAGTCGAAATTTGGAAGAAAAGGAGCAAAGACCGTGCAAATAGGTGGAGACACCTAGAGTTCGCGGCCAGACGTTGGAGTTCACGGTCTCACAAGACCGTGAAATGGATCCAGAACTCGTGAACCGAGGAGCGGATAGAGGGGATTTTCAGGTTACTGACGCCAAGCTAGTTCACAGTTTCTAAGACCGTGAACAGAGGCCACTAACCGTGAACCCGAGCCATTGAAGCGGTGCGTTTTGGTCTCAGCACTGAGTTCACGGACGCGTTTCAATGTTCACGGACGTGAACTCAGGATGTGAAGTGAGCACGGTCTCCACTTAAAAGTCCAGCTAAAAGGAAGAAGAAAAGAGAGAGACCTAGTGTGAGAAACTTCACCTTCTTCAGATTTTAAAGTGAGAAAGTGACGAACCAAAGAAGAGGAAAAGAGAGAGACCTACTGTGAACTCAGGTCGTGAACTGAGCACAGCCTCCACTTAAAAGGCCATCTAAAAGGAAGAAGAAAAGAGAGATACCTAGTGTGAGAAACTTCACCTTCTTCAGATTTTAGAGTGAGAAAGTGACGAACCAAAGAAGAGGAAAAACTAGGGTTTCTTTTCCAAGCAAGGTTTTGGGAACTCCTACCTTAAAGGAGGATTTCTTCAGCACAAGGAGCAAGGATTGCATCTTCTTGATGGTTTCCCTTCCCCTCTCTTGTGTTTTCCCTTCTCCTAGCATGGAGTAGTCCCTTCTTTCACTTGGGTGTTTATAAACCCTACCTACAATTATGTGAATGCTTGTATGAATTGAATGATTTGTGTGTGGTTGTGTTTTAATGTGAATGTGGAGGTATTATTCAGAAATAATTGTGTTGTGTCAAAGCCTATCAATCTAATTGCCATTCTAACCTAGCTTAGAGAGGAGACCTCCTTAGGTTAGGAGGCTTAATTTGAGATGGTGTTCTTGGACATTTCATGCCTCCTAAGCTAGTTTAGAGAGGAAACATCCTTAGGTTAAAAGGCTCGATTTGAGATGGGTGTTCTTGGGCATTTCATTCCTCCTAGGCTAGTTTAGAGAGGAAACCTCCTTTACCTGAGTGGTTCGGTTTCCTTGGGAATTCAATGCCTCCTAAACTTGTTTAGAGAGAACCCTCCTTAACCTAAGAGGCTCATTTCGAGATGGGTTTCCTTGGGCATTCAATGCCCCTAAGCTAGTTTAGAGAAAACCCTCCTTAACTTAAGATGCTCTATTAGAGATGGGTTTCCTTGGGCATTTTATGCCTCCTATTCTAGGTTAGTTAAAGGGCAAACCTCCTAATTCGCATTAGCACTTAGGGTTTGGTTGTGGGTGGCCGTCCGAACTCCAATTCGAGGGTGAAGTCTAAACATTCCTTAGTTGATGGTTGAGAGGGTCACATTAGTGGCTTGGATCGTATCTCATTCCTCAACCTAGAGGCTAAGAGGGTAGCTTTGGATGATTGTTAGACTTCCCTGCGGTTTTTGAACCCCTAACCACGAACGTTCTTTCGATTCTTCATGTCATAATTGTTAGCTAGGGGGAGCAACACCCGGGTGAAGCTTTCTCAACTGTAGTTAAATCCATTTTACCTTTACAAAGCAATTTAGTTTTAGACCTTTGTTTTCATCAAAACCAATCCGCTAGATAATGTTTGAAACAGTCGAAGTAGCGGTACATGGACCGGCCCGGGTTAGTATTTAAACATACTTGCCCTATATTGCACCCATCTAAGGTCTATACTTGGCCCTTAGGTGGGATTTTACTGTGATAGTCAGAGCTAGTCAGAAATCGACCTCGGGAACAAAATTTGGACGAAAACTGGCGAAAACGGGACAAAGGGAGCAAACAGCCGAGGATCACGGTGGAAGCAAAAAGTTCACGGTCAGGCCGACCGTGACAAAGAGGCCAGGACTGTGAAGTGCAAGGAGTCCAAGTAAGTTTTTCCTCCTCGCGGGCTTACGAGAAATCACGGTCACTCGACCATGATAACCCGCTCCAGGCCGTGAAGAGCTTTAGTGAAATGGCACGCTTTTGTCCAGGATCACGGTTCAAGCTTTGAGTTCATGGTCGTGAACTGGGATCGTGAAAAGCCATCGATTTGGGTATAAAAGGGGATTTTAGCTGAAAGAAGAAAGAGGAGAGCCTAGTGAGAGAACTTCTTCTTCCTCAGATTTCTAGAGAGAGAAAGTGATGAACAAGAGAAGAGAAGAAGGTTAGGGTTTCATCCAAACTCCAAGTTTTGGGAATCTCATCCTCCAAGGTTGATCTCCACAACAAAGGAAGAAGGCAAACATCTCGAGGTGGTCTTTTCTCTTCTCCTTTGTGTATTCACTAGTCTTAGCATGGAGAGTTCCCTTCTTTCACTTGCGTGCTTGTGAACCCTAGCTAGAATCATCTGATTTTTTGTATGAATTGAATGATTTGTGTGTGGTTGTGTTTTAATGCAAGTATTGAGGTATTTTCATGAAGGTTGTGTTGTGTTTTCCATTTCCAACTCTTATGCAAATATGACCTAGATAGAGGGAAATCTTCTTCTTGCTAAGAGGCTTTTAAAAGCGGGAATTCCTTTGCCAAATTGAGACACCTACTTAGGCCGAATTAGGGCAAACCTCATACTACGTTTTAGCACCTTGGGTACGTTGTATTTTGGCCGCCTAGACTATGGTTCGAGGGAGAAGCCTAGGCATCCCTTAGTCGATTGGCCAAGAGAGCTACTTCGGTGTCTTGATTTGATATCCCTTGGCCTATCGATTGAGAGAGTGAAGCTTCTTCACTTGTTGCGCTTCCCTACGGTCAAAACCACTTTTACCACACTTGCATTCGGTTCAACTAATCTTGATAACTAGTTAGGGGGAGCAACACTCCGGTGAAGTCTTCTCGTTCAAGGCGGGAGTAGTAAGACCTTGCATCAGCAATGGCAGCAACAGATCTAGGCGGCGGGCGCGGCATCCAATGGACTTCTTCCTTCCTTCTTGCTCCTCGAGTTTGGCTAGCAAAGATAGGCGGTGTCGTTAGGCAAAGCAGAGCGAAGGCCAGCAGAAGTCGCCTAGCGGCGGAACATCAAATGGTTGCAATGATGAATAATAGCACAAAGGAAGCCATAGTCAAACAGAGGCGGGAAATGGAAGAGTACAACAATTCATGTGATGCTGCCGCCGAGACCTCCGCCTAGAATTATTCAGTAGAATTCAACCATAACAAGACAGTGATGTTCAAAGTTTCGGGTTGTACATCAACCTGGGTGGAATTAGGGCTGCAAAGTCTGTAACTAGGTGGGGTTTAATTCTAGGGATTTGACCTTTTATAATTTCGTGGTCTTGTGGTGATGCAAATTAGAAGAAAACATGAAATTACCAGATGGAATGAGAGCGCGGAGGGGAAAGCGTCAGAAGACAAGGTTTCTGGGTAGGGATGACAATGGGTCGGGTTGGGTGGGTTTTGTCAAACCCAAATCCATGGGTTTATCCGCCAAAAAAATTCGCGGTAAAACCCGTTGGGTTTGAAAAACTCAAACCCAACCCAACGGGCTGGGTATCCGCGGGTTCATGGGTATCCGTGGGTTTTTGTGGTAAAAAATTTACAATAACAAGTTTCTTTCAAAATAAAAGTTTAATATCAATTTTCTCATACAAATTATTCATACAAAAAACATCAATCTAGAGCATACAAGCAAACTGCAAATGATCAATACAAATTGTTCAAAATTAAAGATAAACATCTATAAACAACAAGATTAATCGAAAGCTTCTTCCTCGTCAACTAAGTTTCTTCACTCTCCACTCCATAATATCAACTTCATTCTAAACAATTAGAAATAACAAATTATACATGTCTCCACAACCATAAAGAATATTAGTTGTTTAAGGAATATATATTATTTAGAATATTAAATATACCGCGAAAGTAATTATATGTGTGTGGGCGGATACCCATGGGGCAGGTTTATCTAAACCCAAAGCCAACCCGACCCGGTGAATAGTGTGTAGGGTTTAAACCCAAACCTAGCCCAAAACCCGTCAACACGGGTTTTACCCTCGTTGAACGGGTTGGGTCGGATGGGTACCTGTGGGTTCGGGTATTGTTGTCATCCCTATTCCTGGGCGGGCTAATGGGTCCCTAAGAGAGAGAGAGATCGTCGGCCCCGATAAAAGATTTGACGGATGGCGGTGGGACTCCGGCGAAACTTCCAACGACTTCAGAAGGAATTCAACCTCCGAGCCTTGCTAGACATTTTTTCTTTTCCCTCTGCTGACGATGATGTTGATTTAGATTAGGATTTGGGGATTTTTCATAATAAGAGGGAATTTTTTATTCATTTGTTAATTTTATTTTAATTGAATTATAAAATTAAAATAATATTATTTAAAGACGTGGCATGTCACATCATTCATTTTTTTCTGAGTCACTAACGAAATAGTGATTGACCGTCAATATTAACAGTCAAAGGAAATTATGGGCCAAATTTTTCTAATAATTTGAAAAGTAGGCAATAAATGACTTATTGGAAAAATCTGGCTAAAACTGACACTTACACCAAACTTCGGACCAAAATAGGGTATTAACATATAACATACTTAATCTAACATATGATATTGACATTCAAATATACATATTTAGAATTCAAAATATAGAAATCAAGACTTATTCTTCAATGATAAATCATCCATCTATATCGCTATTCCATCAATGATATATATAAAAAAGTAAAATATTTCATCTATCACATCATACTCAAATTAATTTCCTTAAGGCTAAATTGCAAGTTTAGTCGCTAGAATTACTATATATTTTCACGTTTGTCACTAAAATTAGTTTATTCCATTTAAGGTCACTAAAATTAGTTCAACAGTTCAAGTTTGGTCACTCTCCGTTCGTCTCCGTTAAGTTTGGCTGATGTGGCAGTCAACTATAATAATTGACCGTTAAATGAGTGATGTGGCAATTAAAAAAATTAAAAATTAATATTTTGCAATTTCCACATTATTTTCCAAACTATTAAAAAACTAAAAATTAAAATTCTATCGGAGTCCAACCCCAAGTGCGTCGATCAGTCAAGAGGAAACAGGCCGGAGGAGTTGTGGCGGAGACGGAGGATATCAAACTCAGTGTTCGTTCGATTCCCTGAACAAACCTCTGTGGAAAATCGGGACCACGCCACGCGCCTGCGGGAATAGGCCGGAGGAGTTGATGTTGTTGCTCAATAGGCAGCTGCTTATTCAAATTCAGAGACATTGGCCCTCCTCCTTCGACCACCACTCCAACTCTCGCCTCCGTCGTCATTTCTGTGTTTCCACGCTGATTTCACTTACCGCTAGCCATCCTCTTGCTTGCTTTAGCAGAACGCATCCGAATATTCGAACGTGCAAATCGTCGAACACAAAATTCACAATTCAAATCCTATCCCAAAACGAAAGCGCCAAGATCATAATAATGAACCGAAACCCCGCAGCTTCATTCCTCCATCAAATGGCCAAATCCGAGCCCTTAGGCTTAAAGCATGAACCCAAAACTCGACGCTTCATCGGTTTCGCCTTGGTTTTTTTCCTTCTTTTTGGAGAGGTTTGCTCTAGTGTCCAGCAGCGAGAGAGAGAGAGAGAGCTACAAGGCTCCAATAACAAAATCAAAAGTGCGGCAACTTGACGAGGAAGCCAATGAATTCAACATCCAGAATCCAAAATCCAGAATTCAACATCCTAATCTTCCCCGAATCCAGTTCCAGCTCGGCGTCGTTCAATTCCCGCCAGATCTGCTCGTCCTTGTCCTCCGACTCATGCAGGATCTGAACAGAGACAGAGGTGGCGTCGAACGGGATGAGAAGAAGAACCCATTTTCATGGCTGCGGAAGAAGCAAATGCTCATTGATGAGTAGTAGCAGCAGGGAACAAGATGATGGTGGGTTTTATTTTGATAATTACAATTATATTTTCTGTTTTATGTATTTTTATACTGAGGTGGAAATTAGAAAAAATTATTTTTAATTTTCATGTCACTTATTTAACGGTCAATGATTAGAGTTGATTGTCACATCAGCTAAAGTTAACGGAGACTAACGGAGAGTGATCAAACTTGAACTGTTGAACTAATTTTAGTGACCTTAAATGGAATAAACTAATTTTAGTGGCAAACGTAAAAGTTTATAGTAATTCTAGTGACCAAACTCACAATTTACCCATATCCTTAAAAATGATGTAGTCAACAAATAATTCATTGTCATCCGAAAAGGTGTGAAAGAGATTACAAGTCATGAGTGGGAATCTGTGTGTATTGTAGTGAAGAAATTGATGAAAAGTTTGAGCATGATGGTTTGAATCTCACGAGTCTCTTTTTAATTTCCAATTTTGTTTTGAAATGCTAACTAGGAGAATCAGACGATTAAATGACCAGTTTCTCAGAGTTCGACAGGATTTCTCCATATTTTATCAAGTCTGTACCCATGTGATAATATGTCATCTCTAACCTTCTCTGAAAGCCGAACCCAATAAACTTTGAGTTATTGAAACATCTCAATAAATATAATGTTCGTTTCGATCTCGGCATTGTACGGTTTTAATGTTGAGTTTATATCATAGTGATTTTCGAGGAGGTCAGTTATCTTTGCACTGCCCTATAGTGAGCACATTAAAAAAAGTTAATCCCACTAATCTTCGAACCCTGTTCACCTAGACACAATGGACTGTTCACCTAGACCCAAAAGCACTATTCATTTTGTTCTGATTGGTTGGTTGGCTTGGTTGGGCCTAGGGTTGCTGACTGCCTACCGCATGGTGCGTTGGCCCTCTGCCGCCGTTGCGTGGTCATCTGATCCTCTCCCTCTTGCTGCCTGCATCTGCTTCTGGTGTCGTGTCGGCCTCGAGTCATGGCTGATGTCCACCACCGTATCCCCTATCGTCCTTCCTGTCTCTCTCCCAGTCCTTCTCTCTCACAAGGTGGGTTCAGTGGCGATCAATTTTTTGGGTACGCGATACAGAGGTGATGCGAGACAGACCCTTTTGATTGAGGCAGCTTTTTGGCTTGCAGGGATATGAGAGAGAGAGAGGGTTAGCGAATAGGGAGGTCTTCTCATAGTGGTTTCTTTCGTTTCCCATCAAAGTTACTTTTAGACTAAAAAACGATGGGATATATCAATGTATCACTCTTCCTCTTCTCTCTCATTTCTCTCAGTTCATCTCATCTCTTCCTTTCCTACCCCCCCCCCCCCCCCCCCCCCCCCCCCCCCCCCCACACTCTCTTACTCTCTCATCTCAGACCCGAAGTCGTTGCGAGCGACCAGGGAATCATCGATAACTCGCCGGTTATGGGAGTTGCTCTCCGACGAAGAGGAGATCCGGAGATAGCGCGGTGTAGACTCAAATCGTCGATAACCCGCCGGTTAGGGTGATCATCTCTTCTCTTTCTCATCTCAGTTCCGTGGTTGTTGCGAGCGACAAGAGAATCGCCAAGAATCCACCAGTGACGAAATCCATCTCCGGAGAGGGTGCGAGGAAGATCCAGATCATGGCTTATTAATTGATTACGGTGATTATTTCTTCTCTTTATCCCTATTGAGTTATTTGGTCTGTATTGTTTGGCAGGTTCCGTCATATGAAATTGGGGATCGTTTGATGGGTTTTTACAGATCTAAACGAGGGATTGGCACCTCGGCGATGACGGAGGGGTTGACAGGATGAAGATCTCACCATCTGCCTGCACCTTCTTCTCACTGGTGAGTTGATGAAAGCGCACTGCCTTTGTCTATGAAAGCTTCATGTCATAATCTTCCTCTCCGTATCTTCACTTTACCCTGTTTCTAAAACGTGTCTGTTGCAGTGATCTTAGCGTTGAGTCTCTGTAACTTTAATTGGTGAGCGACCGGTGGGCAACTGCAAGCGGAGGCCAAGGAAATCATGAGATCAATCGGTGAGCTCTAAGTCTTTCAAAAAAAAAAGTTTCTTTTTTTCTTTATGCATCGATGGTGGGCTCAGTCGTTTTGTTCCATTTTGTTGAGTTCCTGGAGATCGATGGGTCGATTTTGGAACATCGGAGCTTGGGTTCCCTTCTTTGAAATCCCTGTCATCGTCTCACTTCCGGCACACCAATTTCTGGGGATTCATTGCGTTCATGGTGCCACACCTTATGCATTTGATTCCTTGGAGGTGGGATTGACGGAACCCACTGTCGATTTGTAGATCATTT